GCAGAAGGCTGAAAACTGGCTTAATGTGCATGAGCAGGGGTTGGTTAAATAAAATCATAACCCATCCTGCATGGAATTATTGGAAAGTCTTCAGGTATTGAGGTAGATCCTTAAGTAAAAAGAGTAAGGTACAGAACACATATAGAATATGCTACCATTGAGAAAAGCTGGGACTGGGGATGATGTTATACATATATGCTTGTATGTACATAAAATATCTCTGGAAGAATTTGAAGGCAGATCACCCCATGGATAAAGGTGGGAAGACAGAACCTTCTCTTTGGAGCATGTTTTGAATTTGTGTTATATGAATATGTTACCTATTAACATGAGAAGATAATGACTATAAAAGAACCAAGTTAACAGGGGACCGGGAGGAATGAGACCTTATTGGCAGCTTTTTTATTTTGAGCCCTATCTAGCTGTTTTGGGGGTGAGACTATGAGTCCCAGACTCCATGGTCACCAGATAAGGGCAGAGGCTCCCAGGACTGAAGGGACAAAGCCAATTTCTATCTCTTTTACACAGGATTAAACGCAGAGATAAAGTGGACCCTCCCTCACTCACCAGGAGGAGAAATCTAAGCAACTGATGGGTGGGTTTGCGTGTGTCCCGACCCTGGTCCCGGAATTCACACAGGGAAATTTGGAGGGTTGGGACCTGACTTTGCCACTGTTTCCTGGGGAATGGGACTGGATGGCAAGAGAGGGCTTTACTGAAACAGTCTTGTGGGGCCTATGCTTAGCTTTCCAGTAGGATAAGGATAAGGAAACTATCAGGACCCTAGAAACTCTGAAAAAATTCCTAAGCTCCTGGGATCAACAGACCTTTCCCAGACAACTGAAATTGCTTTGATCTAAAGGGTCAGCTCTATTTTTACCTACTGTTTAGAGGCAATGGAGTAGCCCCAACCACCAGATCTGCCCTCCAGTTCCTGAGAGTGGTGAATCCTCCAGTGTGGGGCTGGTAGGGGTGAGGATCTGAAGTGAACACATTCTCACAGAGGCCCTTATGCCCCTCTGGGCCTCCACCCTGCCCTGCACTAGCCTCCTTGAATTTTCCTGCTCCATAAGGAGTCAAAAATACCTATCACATCCCTCACTGTCTGTTCCCACCTGCCTGCTCACTGCTATCAAGGGTGGCACATCAGGAAAAAATAGGGCCTTCAGAGGAAAGGGTGAATGAGGGATTTCACAATTTATCAAGACCTGAGTACAGGCCCATACCACCTAATTTCTCCTCCTCTCCCATGTTCCCAGATTAGTGATGCTTCTGGGGTGTGAGATGTCCCTGTCACGCCTTCATGGTTGAATGAAATGTAGAAAGGACATCTGGTGAATCCCTTCATTTCACAGATGGGGGAAACTGAGGCCCGGAGAGGGAACAGAGCAGAAACTTGATCCTGACCTCACAGAGATCAGACTCCTAGAGGGAGTTGGCTGGGGATGGATGGAAATGGGGTGGTGGCAGGGCCTGAAAAGAGGGGTCTGGGAGAGGGGTGGTGAGTTTTCTGCAATGAAGGCCTACCTGGTGGAGGTATGCAGGATGGGATGCCTAAGGGAGAGTCTACATTGTTGGATTCTCCATAATGGACAAGCCCCAAGAGTCCCCTGGGGTCAGCAGCCCTGAAGCAAAAACCCCTCTGGAAGTTCACGGGTTGCTGGAGATAGAGAGAAACTTCAGCTAACAGGACCTAGGCTGAAGCAAAGGAATTTGTGAGTGTTCTCCAAAACCAGAAAGACATGCATGGGGTGGGCCTGGGTAACTTCAGGGGCTCACACAGGCAGATGGGTAACAGGCATTCCATGCAGAATGAACAGCACCCACAAAACCAGACTTTAGGCTTGCCAGAGTGGGCCACTGGTAGCAAATAATAGCCATGAGGATAGTCTAGGGTCATCCTGTAGGTAAGGGGTCTTCATCAGATGACATGGCAGCACTGGAGAAACGATGGGGGAAAAGATGGCCCCACCCACATGTATGCAAACTCAAGGTTTGAAGTGTCATTGGAAATCAATGTTTTTTAAGACTGACTCACAGGCCTTGGGCAGTTATTGGGGTTTGAGGAAGGGATCCAGTCATCTAGTGGGCTGTGGAGTTCATGCTTTGGAGAAAGTGTGGCTGGCAGGGGGTGGGGAACTCAGGGGAGGCCTAAGTATGGCTTGAGGGTGGGATGTAGTAGCTGCCTTCCCCAGCACACAGGACCAGTTATTAGTAAGAGAAATTAGGAATATGGTGGGTAGGAATGAAAATGCAGGTCCCTGGCCCCTTTTCCTTGCATTCCAAGGAACTACCACCTTGTGTATCCCCCAGCCAGCTTTAGAACCTCAAAATTCACCCATTTATGGAATGAAAAGAGCCCTAGCCCTACCACTCCCACTTAGTAGGTAAGTGTCCAGCTGGCCCTGCCTGCCTCCTGTACCCTCAGAGACTTCCAACTTTAACTGAGGAAACCCACCCCTACCTTTAATTCACGTGAGGCCCTGAAGCAAAGAGAGGCAGCTAGCCTAGCAGCAGCACATGCAGGGGACCCGGGGTCAGTGTCCTCATCTGTGAAATGAGGGAGTTGGACTAGAGCTAGTGGAGTACTGAGTCCCTGCTCTCTGTGGTATAGGCTCTGAGTATCAAAGGGCAGGAAGGGGAGCCAGTGCAGACCATGTGGGACAGGGCCTGAAGCAGAGAAAAAAGGTTCTGAGTTGGGAACTAAGGGGCTTGAGCAAAGCTCTCAGGCTTGAAAGGCTGAGCTGAGCTGTGAAGAAGGCCAAGGAGAGAAGGAAGCCTGCTACACAGCAGGTGCTCAGATCCAAGAGGGAGGCCCCAGCCTGCCTGCTGAGCGGGACTTTAGGCTATAGCAGGAGTCATGCCAACTCTTCACCTACCCTAGTATGGAGGCAGAAATGGGCTTCACGTCCCTTTCACTGAGGACAGAATGAGACTGAGGGGTGCTGGAGCAAGGCCCTCATAGTTAGGGGTGCCATAGGCGGGGGAGCTTCCTTCCTGCTTTGGGAACCTTTATGGAAGAGGAATCTCTCCCCAAAAGTAGCAGTAGCCTCACCCCAAGATGGATCACACACACTTCCAGATTCCCCTGAGCTTTGATTCTACTTCCTGTTCCTACACATCACCCTTCTCAACCCACTGCTCTTCCAGTCCAGGACTTGGTGGGTGTTGAGATTTCTGGGGACTGGGAGTGCATGCCCCAGGGTCAAGACTCATGAGACTAAGAGAAACACAGCAGGTTAGTCAACTGGCAAGGGCAGAAGCCACAGGCTCTGCCAAGAAGGCTGTGATGGAAGAGGAGGAAGGAGAAAAGTGTGTGCATCCATAGGAATAGTACCCACAGATTGGGTTGCCTCTGGGGTTGGGGTGGTTCTTAAGTTGCCCATGACTTGTTCTCTGCTTCAAGCTTGGGTTGAAGCTTCCTGCCCCACCTATTAGTGGGTGTCCACTAATGATACACAGGTCACTGCAAGGACAGTGGGCATGGCATGGGTTGGGCCCCTGGCAAATATGCCCAGGAAGGAAGGTGTCCACTCAAGACCCCAGGCCTCTTGTACAGCCTCTCTGTACACGTACAGGGCAGTCCCTGTTTGTTCAAAGGCAGGCTTGCTCCTCACTCCCAGTCAGAACTAAAGTAAGGGGCTCCAGGGCCAAGGCAGCACCCCTTCTCAATAGAGCCCCTCAGTTTTCAAAAGCAAATTCATTTAGATTTTGTAAAGTTCTAAAAAATCACATTCCATCTAGAATGTCCTTGTTTTGATAGAAGCTAAGGAGGTCTCAACAACCTAAGGCCAGCAGGATTCACACTTAAGCCAACACAAATTTTTCTGAGCGAGCCCCCAAGAATGGGGTTTGTGAGCTCTTCTGACTTGACTTCTCCCAAAGGGCAGACAGTGCAGGTAAAGTGGACAGCCCTTCTCTTTAAGGAAGACATAAGCCTGGCCCTAACTAACCAGCTCCAGCTCAAGCCATGTGATGAATTCCCAGTGTTAGTGGCTGGATCTATTCGGTTTGCAGAAGAGAAATTTCTACCCCAAGACAACCAGCTAGGGAGCAGCAGCAGGACAGCCCAGCCACCTTGGAAGGGCACTCACACTACCTGCAGTCCTACCACCACCCCCTCCCCAGAGGATTCCTCCAGGGCTAGGAGCCCCTAGTCATACTGGACCTTGACAGTGCTTTTGTTCTTAACCATGCCCTGCTGTCCTAGCAGGGTGAACAGACCACTTGAAGGCTTTCCAGAGCCATCACGACCTTAAAACATGAATGGTACCAATGGGCTTCCCATGCCTAGTGTTTACTCTGGGAACTGGTATGTGTGTGTGTGTGTGTGTGTGTGTGTGTTGAGGGGGTGGGTGGGATGTGCTTAGGCATCTGAGGGGGACAGGCAGAGTTGGGCATGGCCAGGATAATATAATTAGAATTCTGCATTCTATGCACCCCCCCACCACCACCAATACAAGTGAACCACTGTCTCAAAGTTCCAGAATAAGCAATTTTCCAGAAACTGGATTACAGGCCAGGCAGCAAATTACTCTAGGTAGGGGAAACTTTCTCTCAGCAAGTTATTGTATATCTATAAGGTAGAGGAAGACGGGGCTAAGTTAGTCCCAGGCCCCACTGACCTCCCAGGCAATCAGATTTTTATCCCAATCTTTCTCCTTCCTCATCTAGGCCAACCCCAACTCACAGAACCTCATAGGGTCACTCTTGGAGAAGTTTTCTTCTGGTATGAACCAAAATAGTTAACCTGCCCCAGGGAGGGCAAAGCTGAAAACTGATTAGTGTTTGATTTCTAGTCTGTGGCCCCAGGCAGAATGCCAACCCCTCCCCATCCCAACACTCCAAAAAGAACTGAAAAGGGACGAAGAATTTGGAGGGAAAGGCTGGACAAAGGGATACCCGAACAGCATGACTGCCATCCCACCCCACCCATCCTGGCCTCAGCTCTTTTTCAATGCCTGCACGTCCTTCGCAAGTCAGGGAAGCCGAGTCAGCTCTGTGTTCTCCAAACCATTTATTTCTCCCTGTGGTGGAGCTGGCAGGGGGAGAACAGGCACAGAACACAGCGGGAGTAGGGCCCAGAACACGGGTAGGGTCCCTGCAAGGGAATCCAGGACACCGCCACCCTCAGGCGAACGTGGAGCCGTTCCAGCCCACGTTGGCCGCATTCATGTCGTAGTAGTTGATGTAGATCCTGCAGGGAGTGGGAACCAGGCTCAGCGCGTTGCAACACCTCCTAGAGCAGGCAGGGGTGGGGGGTGGGGGCAGATGGGGGTTGGGAGGCAGATGGGGGGCCGAAGGGGGTGGGGTGCCGGAGGGACTACGCGTGCCGCGCACCATTCCCCCTCCGCGCCCCCACGCACCTGTCCGGGCTGATGCGCAGACGCTCGGCCAGCAGGCCGCACAGCAACTTGCTGTAGGAGCGGTTCTGCGCGCCACCAATCTTGCCTATGCTGTGCAGGCTGCAGAGCGCGCAGGGTTCGCTGGAGCCGCCAAAGGCCATGAGCTGGTCCGGAACCACGTGCACTGCGATGTACTGAGGGAGGAAGGGCGCGGTCAGTCCGCCAAAACGATCACGCCGGACCCCAGGTGTCCACTTCGGACTCCAGACCATCATTCTCCCCTACCCGCTCCCCATCCCTGGTCCACTCAGTCCAGCGAGTACACCCTTATCTTGTCCCCTCCCGGCAAACCTGAGCCGGCTTGCCAGTGGCCTGCGCCAGCTGCTGAGTGAGCTCTGAGAGGAGCCCGTCGGGCACGGAGGCACGGGGCACGTTGGTGTTCACGACGAACATCGGCATGATGGCGAAGAGACGGTGAGACTGGAGCAGAAGCACAGGACCACACGCGCTACGGCCAAAGCCCAGGGACCTGAGCTACGTGACTGCCTCAGCTCCACCCCTGGTGCGACCGAGGCTCCGCCTCTCGTGACGCCACCACCGACTGCAGGCTCCACCCTCGCGAGGCTGAGGCTCGGTCTTTCCGGGCTACGTCACCGACGCTTGAGGCTCCGCCCCGTCGCGGGGGCAGCCGAGGCGGGTCAAACCGCTTCTCCAGCAATCAATCGCGCTCCTCCAGCAGCTGCGCTTCTTTGCAGTAACTACAGATCCCCTGCCCACCCGCTCTCTGCAGTTCTTCATGTGGCGCAAGAAATCTGCTTGTTCCTTCCTCGCCTCGTTTCTTAGTCCTTTCACGTAGTCACTTAAAATTTACTCAAAGGCACTGTGCCAGGAGTGGGTACGCGGCGGTTGACGGGACAAATGGTCCCTTGCCTTCCAGGGGCTCGGCCAAATAGATGAAACCTAGCTTATTCCTCCCACCCCCTCTGAGCTCTTGTGTGTCCTGAGTCTCCTGGACCACTGTCCCCAAAGGGTGCAGTCCCGCACGTCGGTTTTGTGTGTGAGATGGGGAGGGAGCACACACCATTGCTGTGTGTGGGAGGGGGTTGCCACCTTCAAATCACCATCCAGGTATCTTCCCTGCACCCCTGGTCTTCAAGGTGGGTGAGGATGCTGGGAGGCCGCCAGGTGAAAGAAAAGGAGCAGAAAGTGAAATCCACACGAGCTCTATAAGTCAAAGATGCTCAGCTCCAGGCCTCAGGGTGCACCCCTAAACTGGGCAAACCCCAAATCCCAGGGCTCCCAGGCAACTTCACCTCCTCAGAGAAGCCCCACCCTAGTCAGATTCCGCTAGGATACCCTGTCAGAGAGCCCTTGGTGGGTTTTGTATAACTCTTCCACTAGTGGTAAGCTCAAAAGAACACCTGACAGGTGCCTAGCCTACAGGAGACCTTGACTAAGTACGGTTGAATGAATGGATGGGTTTATAGCTATGACACTGCAGAAAGAGTACAGAATGGCAACTGCATTAGGGCCCTGGCTATAGCAGCTGAAGGTAGAATGAACCTGCAGACCTTGCTATCATTGAGCAGAAGAGTCCATTTCTAAGTGACTATTCTACTACCACACCTAGGAGGCCTCCCAGTTAGGGTTCCATGTTCCATGACTGACCTCTCTCAGGCCCTTAATAGGGTGCTGTGCACTTCTAAGGACTTAGCTATCTTCCATCTCTTTAACAGGCACAATCCGGTTATGATGGCACTAGCACACACCAGCCTTGGTGATGGCCTTGTTTTACATCAAGGACACAGTGACTGTGAGATCTACTTGCCACCAGCCAGCCTCCAGTTAAGAAGCCCCATGACCCATTTGTGCAAATAGCCCATAAGTTTGATTCCTCCAGCTGGGCCCCAGGCCCTTCCCTTCTGGCTTTCACATCTCCAGTCTAACCTGAGCCCATGGCTCCATGATTACTGATGCATTGATGATGCTCCATGACATGTTTCCAAATGGGTATGTTCATCTAGCCCCAGCAGCTGAAAGCCACCAAGGCGGCATCTATTGCTGCCTATGTCCAAATCTAAGTGCATGACTTTTCCTTCCACACCTGATTCCCTGAAAGTGAAATGTACTTTCTCCACTGTCTTCTTGTCCTCCCTTCTGCCCACCTCCACTGCCACCTAGTGTATGCTACCTGGCATTGCCATTCTCCTGCACTGCCCTGATACCTCTGAGGTAAACTTTTTCTCCTGGAGGGAGGAGTCTCTCCCAGTCTCCAGACAGAAGATTTAGCCTCTTGATTTGCTTTGCCGTGTGAAATGTGAGCAGTGACCTGAGTGACTCCAAGCAGAAGATTGGAGAGCCAGCATCTGGTTGACCTATTCTCTGTGATAGTGGATGTGAATGACAAGCTAGAGCTTCACCAGCAAGCACTGAGCTGCCCCTGTAGGTGAGCCACTGTGCATTTCAGGTTTTTAACATAGCATAGGGGTTTATTTCCTGACCAGGACAGCCTCTGAGCCATTTGTCATCTATTTTACCCTCCCCAGCTGTTCCTAGAAGGGTATCTGAGCAGGTGCTGCAGTTCCCAGATCCTCTTACTAGCTTGGACACTTGACTAACCTCTCTGAGCCTGTTTCCCCCACCTATAATTTAGGGATGACAATAATGTCCATCTAGTGTTCTGAGGACCAAGTGATTTAAACAGTATCCTTGGATATTAGAGATAGTACTGTCACTGCCCTGTGTGACTTAGTTCCTGCCAGCCTCCCTTGACCTTCCCTCATGGCACACTGTCCTTTCAAGGCATACTTCTGGCTCAAGCCTTGGTCCTGAGGTGAAATTTGACCACCCTTCCCCTTATTGGACTTTGGCTTATCCTGCAGACCTTGATGTGGCCTTAGTGCCTTTCAAAAGCCCCCAGAGCCCCTGGTTCAGTCAGAGAACAGCATCTGTCCTATCCCCTGAGACTGACTCCATAGTTCTATTTGAGTTAATGCTTCATGTTTAGGCAGCAAATTCCTTGAAGGTGGGGAACGGCCTCTTTTTGATCATTGCTATATGCCTACTTCCTGATCAATTTCCTTGACAATAGGCAAATGACCCCCAAAGATGCCCAGGTCCTCATCCTGGAACCTGTGAATATGTTACGTTACATGGCAAAAGGCACCTCACAGATGTATTTAGGGTTATGGACCTTTAAAAAGGAAGATTTTCATGGAGTATTTAGGTGGGCCCACTCTAATCACATGAGCCCTTAAAAGCAGAGAATTTTCTCTAGCTAGAGTCAGAGAGATGTGGTGGTAGGAGAAGTCCGAGAGATTTAAAATAGGAGAACTGCATGTGCTGTTAATGGCTTTGAAGATGAAGGGAGCCAGAGACCCCAGTCGTACAACTGTGAGGAACTAACATCTGCCGACAACTGAATGAACTTGGAAGTGAATTCTTTTTCTAGCTGACCTTCAGACACCCTGACTTCAGCCGTGCAAGGCCTTAAAGAGAAGGCCCATCCATGTCACATTGGACTCCTGACCCGCAGAAACTGTGAGATAATAAATGTGTGTTGTTTTAAGCTGCCAAATCTGTGGTGATTGTTATAAGAGCAATAGAAATGTAATATTCATGGCACCTTTAGAGCTCAATAATTTTCTGCTGGCAGTACACCAGGGGTTATTGACATGGCTGCTGATTCTCCCTTCCTACTCACTGAAAGCATCATCCCAGTTCTGTTTCATTAGAACATTTATCACCCCAGAGCGCCAGACAGATGTGGCCACACAGCATGGCTGTGACCCATGCAGTATCTTCTGGAGGTGCCATCCTGTCCTTCTACCTGCCTGGAACTTGGACATGACACCTTGAAGTGCAGCAAATGTCAAGACAGCCATGAGCCTGAAAGCAGTGGCGATAACTAAAGCACAGTTCAAGGAGTGGGGAGTAGAAACTCAAGGACCACAGGGGCAGGGGTTGGCTCAGTCCCTTTAGCTGCCTTTGGCAACACAAGAAAAACAAGCCCCTCTCTGCTTAAGTCACTGTTCATCAGGGTTTCTGTCCTGTACAAAGCCAGTGGATCTCCTGGCTGGCACAGAAGACTTCTTGGGAGCCACAGCTCATGCATGCAAAGGCCTTCTGACAAGAGAAGAGATGAAAAGAAAATATCAGTTGGATAAAGAGGAAGACAGTTCACATGAATGCCTGGGAGATCCTGTGGATGGGCAGCCAGCCTTCCAGTGGACCACCTTTGTGGATAGGAGAGACCACCATCATGGAAGGTTGGAAAAGAACGAGGGATACCTGTTTTTTCCCTCACTGCCTCTCTCTGACACAAGCTCCTAAGGCTTGGCTGGCTGCTCTCGGGCTTTTCACCCTCCCACTGGCACACACCTGCCCCTTCACCAGGCATTCCACAGCAAGAACTAGCTGGCCTGGAGCCCCAACTATATGGACTCACTAGTTCCTATGCCCATATTCAGGGCATGGAATGTTAGGAAAGTCGCAGCAAAGACAGCCCCATTTCCCTGCACTTTTTTATGGTGAAAAAAGACCAGGGTGGATGTGCTCATCATCTCTGCCGGTGACTACCCAGCTCAGCCCTACCTGAAGGCACAGGACTGCAAAGAGGGGAGTCTGCCAAGAGACTACCACAGAATACCTTCTCCCAGCAGTCACCCTAGGCTGGGTGAGGATTGCTATAGTTTGGATAAATGTTCCCCAAAGGCTCATGTGTTGAAATTATGGTCACCAGACCGTGGGTAAGGGAAAATGGTGGAATCTTTAGGAGTAGAATCTAGTGGAGGGAAGTTAGGCTATTGAGGCTGTGACCTTGAAGGGATATTGAGATTCTGACCCCCTCATCTTCCCTCTCTCTGCTTCTTGGTTGCCATGGACAGTTTATTCTACACTCCCATCATCTTGCTATAGGCCCGAAAGCAGTGGAGATAACTAACTCTTGGCTGAAACCTCTAAAACTATAAGCCAAAATAAATCTTCTTTCCCTATAAATTGTTTACCTCAGGTATTTTATCACAATGGTGGAGTTGACTAACATAGGGGACCAGCATTCAACACTATCTATCCCCACAGGAAACTGGGACACCAGTAAAAGGAGGCTGTTCTAGGCTGAGCTGCTTAAGCTCTCAGAGCCTCAGTTTATTCATCTCAAAAAGGAGTGGTGAGTCTTTTCCCATAGATGTGTGTAACGATTAAGTGAGAAGACGGCAAGTACCAATGTCCTGGCATATAGTAAATGCTCAGTAAATGCTCCCTGATTACAGTACTGGTAACCAAACAACCTGGAATTGGAAATGAATTTACAGGATGGAGACCCTAATGGGCACTGGAGCAGAATGAGAGACATTTTCCTTCCCTGTCCCCACCCACTTTTACCAGATCCTAGCAAATCTAAGACCAGCTACTTGGGAGCCCCAGAGCACAGGAAGCAACAGGCCACACATCACTAATGAGGGCCATAAGAAACTCACAGTGACCTGTCCAAAGGTGGTGTGTCCTGGGCTACTTCTCAGAAATCCTTACCTCCTGGAATGTGGAGAGGTGTTGGCATAAACTTTGGGGTCAGGGAGAGCCCCTCGGAGTTGGGACAGTGGT